CTCTTGCTTGTTCTCTCCAAGGAGGGTATCTACCTCAGATAAATGCTCAGCTAGTATGCCTGTCTACTGCTTGGCTGGAAGCTACAGGTGTGTGTTCAATTCCAGACCTGAAGGGCAGCTAGGGGCCATAGTCTCAGTGGTTCCACCAGGCTCCATTGGGCCAGTAAACCAGAACAGATAGTATTTAGCTTTACCTGGGACCACAGTGGAAGGCTTCAAAGAGAAAACAACATTTGAGCTAGACCTTGAAGGAGACAATGAGATTTCTCATGGAGTCATGAAGAACAGTGAGTTGTGAGGCTGGAGTGTGGGCTTGCTCATGGAGTGGGTAAGAGATGAATCTGGAAAAGTAAGTTAACTCTAGATTTTGAAGCACTTTAGTGGATAATTTGATCAGAACAGGGTTCTGATCAGAATAGACATCTGTGGCTAAGTAGACTGAGTGTCTCAAATTTGTTGGGAGAAAAAGGTGGCTTTTCCCTTACAGTTTCTATTAACTCTTGGCTTAATGATTGAAACCATTCATGAGGTTTTTTTTTTTTAACAAATTTCTGAATCATTTAACAATGGGAACAGAAAACTCAAAAATGTTATCCTTGTGGCTTGATATTATTTGCTTCCTTCCATATAACTATATCACATACTTGGCAGCCCAAGGGTCAACTGTGAAGGTTATAACAAAACATTTCTATGTGGTGTTTAACACACTGTAATAACTTTGCATTGTTTCAGTAGCCACCATATGTTATTCTTGATGTAATTGTTCCTGCAATTGCCTCTTTTTGCATAGTGATAATTGCTGATTGAATACATTAAAAACGATCCAAGGTGTGAAGCCACATCTGGGCTGCTGGAATAACTCAGCCACCAAATGTAAGTGCTTGCTGTTAGACAGCATCCCAAGGTACAGGGAGTTTAGAAGCACAGAATCTCAGAATTGTATAGCATGGAGATCACCTAGTACAGCCTTCAACTGAGGGCCCAGTGCCTAGAAAAGTATTGTGACCTGGCCAACGTCATATTGAGAGTTCGTAGTGAAGCCAAACCCATTCCATTCACACTGAAAACCATACTGAAGTTCATAATTCCTTCCTTCCTATTTTAATTTTGTCTTCATTTTGTCATTTGACAAGTTTGCACTAAGCACCTACTATGTGTCATGCAATAGTTCCAAGTACAGGTATCCCTCCGCTTTTCAGAAATTGGCTTTATGCCGCTTTACTTACAAAAGACCTACATAAGTACCCGTTTTTGCTAACCAAAAGAAATCTGAAAAGGATTTTTGTTTTTATGAAAAAAAAAAAAAAAAAGTCTGTTGTTGGCTTTGGATTTCAAAAGCCTAACTCTTTAGGGATATGGAAAGGACTCTTGGCTAGACAAAAGATGTGAAAGAATATTGAAATGCGTAAACCAGAACTTTGCCTCATGGATACTATATAA